CTGTTAAGCCTAGTTCCCGTGGGGATTTTTAGCCCCTAGTTTCCTTATATGATATTCATCAATGGCTATGAATAGTAAAAGACAACTCTTGTTAAAAAAAAAAAAAGTCACTTTTTTCTTGTCTGAAAAGCTGGCTCCTCACTCCTGGAGATGATGTGCTTTTGCCCAATCTCCATTTCAAAAAGCACACAGGTCCACATCTCTGAGCCTAAATTCACTTGCCACCAAATGCTATAATCTCTTTTTTCTATTGAAAATATCCATGTCAATGCTCTTTTCTACTGAATTCAATGGCAGTGTAACAACAGTATGGAAGTTTTGAAACTATCTCTAGTCCTTTCCCTCTAAGAATAACTTGCTTATGTTTGTTTACCCAGTGGGGTTTGTTTCCAATATTCACATTTTTTTAAATTTACAGATCTAAGCATGTATAACATTCTATATTTCACTTGTTAATTTTCCCACTCTAAGTCTCTTTCTCCCAGGAGCTATGGTGCTGAATGGGATGGTAGCAAGTCACTGGCCGCACAACAGTTGAGAATGAGACACTACCCAGAATGGTGGCCCCTAAAAGATATGTCTGTCTTCAACCCTACTCTTTAGAAATGTGACCTTATTTAAAATATAATTTAATTATAATTTATTATAACTGACATAAACTCTTAAGAATCGAGATGAGCTCATCCTAGTTTATCAGGATAGACCCTGAAGCAAACAAGTGTTCTTATAAGAAACAAGAACAGAAAACACACAGAGAGAAATCAGGAGGGCATGGAAAGACAAGCAGAGATGGGAGTGAGGCCATCACAAGGAAATCTTAGAGCTATCAGAATTGTGAAGAAGCAAAGGGCTCTGCTCTTCTAGAGGAGACACAGCCATGCCAATGCCTTGATTTTAGACTTCTGACTCCAGAACTGAGAAAATACAATTTTGTGTTATATTACACCTCCAAGATTGTGGTGATTTGTTTTGGCAGTCCCAGTGAAATAATATGAAGGGTAATAACACTTCAGTGTCAAGGACAGGCTTCCACAGAATTTTCCAGAATCTACCCTGCAGAACAGCCTGCCTGGCTATCTAGTCCTTTCTTCCCAGGGATCATGAGCACATGGGGTTTTAACTTACACCTGGGGCTTCCCTAATACCTAGAAAGGAGAGGAATCCACTGAACCCCCAGCCATCTGAAGTCTGGCCCACTTCTGGAGAGCCTGCCAGTCTTCTTCCAGAGCTGAATCTGTTCTTGATCTGCTTGCCATACACTAAAATCACCTCTGTATTAGTAGCTCCCATACCTGAACTGAGGAGGACTCTTACCCCCAGCTTGCAATCCTATCTAGTTTCCAGAGTCCAAATACTCATTTGTATTCCTGACCTCCTTTAAAGGGGACTTCTTTTAGATGAGTCATCTATGTTGACAGTTTTGAACAAGAGAGAATGAAGTTGTTCTAAATTTCTTGGGGGTCTCTTTCTCCTGGTAACTTTATGTGTTAACTCGACTGGGTTGAGATGCCCAGATAGATGATAAAATATGATTCCTATAGGGGTGTGTCTAGAATAGCATTTGAATATTCTCATTAGGGGGCCTGGCCCTAGCTCAGTTCTTTAAGTGGCTGCTTCCACAAAGTTGTCAGCCTCAGGTTGCTGTAGTTCAATCCCCACAACTCCAGCCAGCCAAACCTGCCCTGAAGGCATTCAGAGAAGAAAAAAATATCCTTATTCCATTGGGGCCGGGGAGATGGCTCAGTAGAATAAGCGCTTCCCTGGCAAGCACAAGGGCCTGAGTTCAATCCCTGGTTCCGCAAAAAAAAAAAGAAAAGAAAAGAAAAGAAAATTTCTCACTAGTGTGGGAGGGCATTGCCCAAACCATTGAGTGTTTGGATAGAACAAAAAGAGGATGTAAGAGCTAATTCACACTCTGCTTGAACTGGCCATCAATCTTCTGTCTTTGAACACTGAAATTCTTGTTACAAATAAAATACTGGTCAAGATGCAATACTGACATGCCTTGCAATGACAATCTGTCAGTGAGAAAAAGGAGAGGGGAAGAAATGAGAGATAACTAAAATATAGAATATTTAAGTTACAAGAATAGAAAAGTAAAAATATCTTTAAAATGTTATTAATCAAAAAGAGTTTGCTTTATAGCTAAAACCTAACACTATGTGCATGCTTTTTTTATTATAAAGTGACACAAGACTAAATCATAATAATGTCAATCAATAACTAATTAGCATTTATAAATGCAGCTTCCAAGGTACATATTTCAATTTCATAGCAAGGAATCTGGATAATCAATTAACAAAGCCAAAAGTGAAGCAAATACAGGCTTTGTGTGCTCATCACCCTGTAAGCTAAAGTAGGGTTGTCCATTGAGAAAAGCTTGTTTCACCTGAAGTACAAGGATGCCATTATTGCAACCCAGGTCAAGACCCAGCAACAGAAAGAGAAAACAAAGGCATGAGATGTTCAACTTTGCACCAAAGTCACAGGGAAACAGACCATCTCTAGGTATTTTTCAAAATGACTTAATGGGGTGAATGAGACACAAAGAAAGAAAGGAAAACAGAATACTAAACAAGAATTGCTGCACACAGTGCTCTGGAAAGACACAAGGACACCTGGGACTGTGAAGTTGTAAAAACTGATTCAAAATGACAGGTAACTTCAGATTTGGCATTGGCATATCCGTATGTTGCACCAGTCTACTTCAGATTTGCTAACAGTTATGAAAAATAATCACTCTACTATTTTGGCAAATGATTGAATCCCAAACCATTACAGCTCTGCTGTTTATCATTTACGATTTCTTCTTTGTAACATCTGCTGTTCCTTCTCTCCTTCTACCCTGTCAAAACCATCATGAAACATTTATCCACAAATGGCAAGTGCCTTAACTGATAGCCCCCCGTGTCTTCCCAAGCTGCTTGTTTTCTCAAATCTTCACACAAGTGGCCAAAACAGGTTGAGACAACTCACCCATATAAATTTTCATGAGGACAAATGCCCAGATCACTCTTTATCCTTGTGTCCTGTGGTAAGTGAAAATGTCCAGGTATTCCTCTAAGAGACATGGGTTTTTTTTCCTATTTTCATAATATAAATACAATGCTCGCTTCAGCAGCAAATATACTAAAATTGGAACGATACAGAGAAGATTAGCATGGCCCCTGCGCAAGGATGACATGCAAATTCATGAAGCATTCCACATTTTTAACATAACATAAATATAATAAACACTTTTCTCAGTGAGAATGTATGCTTTCTACCTAGCTACATCCTTGCATACAAATCCCTTGCATATTATTTTTCAAATTCCAGGGTTCATTACTTTAATTGAATCTGTTCCTAGTTTTTAATTAAATCTGCATTTCTCCCAGTAACCTTTTGAAGAAAGATAGAAGCCACATTTTTGTGTTGGGAGGAAAAGGATCACAGAACAAGACAGACATGAAAGGCAAGTACAAAATCACACAGTATGTTTCATATAAATTTATTTTTGTACCAAAAAAAATTAACATTCAAAGGTAAAACTTTTATCGTACAGTATAAAATAACTTCTGCTAAATTACAAATTGGATTGTTTTCTTCTGATAAACCACTAGTAAGTTTTCTATTTAAAAAAATTTATAATTTGCAGCACTTGTAGAAAAAGACACCTGTTCAACAATTATATAAATACTCCTGACAGATTTCGGTAGCCTATTAACGTATCCTTTTTGGTAATGTCAGCTTTCTAAAGTCAATTAGTTTCTAAATTTGAAAGGCACCTGGTGGACAACATCCTGCTTGCTTTTCAAGGCATCCATTTAATTTTTTCTTTTTGCACTGGCTTCACAAATCTGAAAATCTTTTAAGTTAAAAAGAATGAAGAAATATATCATATCCGATACAAGGAAACAGTCTTTCCCCTCCTTAGCTGCAAGTTTTCCTTAGGGAATTTACAAAGTGCACCAGTTAAATATGTCTGTACATTTAAAACATTAAATATATCAACAGTGAGACATTTTTAAATACTTTGAATCAAATACTATAGCACAAATATAATTTACAGTACTCTGCAAAGAAAACATTACATCTGAAATATAAAGTTAGATATTATATAAAAATACATACTATTTTCTCTCCTCATTAGAAAAAGCATTTGTTTGCAGGTTCAGGCATGATGTAACAATTCAAAGGAACTTAACCCTTCAGATGGTTACTCATTTGCAATGCAGTGACACCCTCCCCTCCAAGTGCATAGTGGCATATAACCGTGGTTTAGACCCAGAGAATTACCCTTCTCATGGCCCAGATGTAAACTTTCACGAGGGCAGCCATACTTGTTCCAATCCAGTTTAGTCCTAAGAATTCATTACAAAATTGTAAAACCGTTGTGTTACACACCACGAGTCCAGCATCTCTCACTGACTGCAAATACGCATGTGTTCCACAAGCTCAGGAGTATGGATGAATTTTGCACCACAGTGGGCCATGCCTCTTAGTAGTCTTAAACACCTATATACATCTTTCGTGATTTGTCTAAAGCAAGATTTCCAGACAACTGGGAGATACATGGCAAAGCTCCACAGAATGAGTCTCAGTCTATGTCGCGAACTTTGAAAGCCCCAAAGTACGTCGCATCTTGATCTGGGTCAAGCAGAGAAGGATTGGATACCTCAATGCTTATTTCTTCACCAGATCGTAGTTTAAAAAATCCCCCAACGTTTATGGAATAAAAATGGAATTCAGAATCCCCTGACCAGTATTTAGTGCTTCCCCCTTTCATCAGAGTATGAGAACTCGGGATTTTGACGCTGGTTTTCGTGACATACACCATCAGCTGAAGATACTTTGTAGCTAGGCCTCCTGACGTTTCATGGTGTCGAAAGCAAATGTTGGCATACAGGTAATAAAAGCCATCTTGATTCACCATTAGTTTTCCATTGTTCAAAGTCATATTGGAGATCTTGGCCCAACCTCGGTCATGGTACCAAGAGGACAAACTTACTTTATGGGAACCTGTGGAGAGAAGAGGCATGTCATGTAAAATTCACTTCTACAGTGAGAACACTCACAATTCCATGAGGTTAGCAGGAAAAACAGAACAGTAGTCATTCCTCCAATGGAGAATAACTTCTTGGAATGCATTTTTCTATCCATTCAGATATATTTACTGTGAGGCCCATATGAAGGTACAGAGAGGGAAAGGAAAACCTCCCTCTTCCTGCTCATGAGGAAGCTGCAGTACCTGGGGTTTAGTACTCTATGTGTTCAGACAATAAGCAAAGAGTACTCAAAAGACCTGTGTGTATAACTGCCTTGGGAATTCAAAGGAGAAAGAGATTATTTCCACCCAGGGAGATAAAAAATGACTTTGTCCAGTTGCTATTAAGCTAGAGAAATTCAAAATAGGAATAGGATTCAGCCATACAGATATAAGCATAAAGGCTTTTCTAGGTTAAGGGAGAATTAGCCAAAGTCAAATGAGGCAAGAATGCCAGAAACTAATATGGAAAGAGACTTTGCACACTTCACATGTCTCAGCCTTCTCTTTTGTTTCATGAAGAAGAATATGTAGAAGGAGATTAAAATCTGGGTTAAAGTAACTTTGAGCAAATGGCCAGCTTCCAAAACTTAGTTTTTATCATTTTCAACTTCAATAGCTCATGTGTCTCCACGTTCATACAGTTGAAAAACTATCCTCAGACAAACTCAAAATGAAAACTTTCTCAGCATTGTGCTATTCATCTTGACAACTTCACACAATCCATTGTGACCAAAGTCCAGAAAAATCTTTCATGATTGACCAAATTTTAAATTCCTTCTCATTCCTGAAATGAGGTGAAAACTGATCATCATACTAATGTTCCTGGAGCAGTGATTCAAAGTCATGTCTTTGGTATATTTTACTGACCTTTACAAATTAATGATGATAAAGGGCTGGTGATGTACCTCACGATAAAGATCTCATAGCATTTGCCTAATACCAGTGGTACTTCGGTTCACAAGCTTTATTCTTTCTATGATTCTAGTCACAAACTGAGTCACTTGAGATCAGAATCCAATTTAGCAGTTAGGTTCAATAGTGACTCATGGAGAAATGTGACTCCATTCTAATCCAGTTCTGTTTATGACAAGAATCACAGAAAGAACTGAGTTCATAAACCAAGGTAACACTGTGTATATGAGGCTGAGTCAAAGCTGAGTACCACCAAAACAAAATCAAAAACAACAAAGAAGACAACATGACACTACAAGACCCTATTCAGCACACTGTCACTCTAGGCTGCTAAACAGTCACCTACTCCATTGACAACGCTAATGCAATTGAAGATGTTTCCTATCTCAAGTTATATGATGCCTGCTGCCCTCCTTCTACTGCTGTGCTGCACTCAATCCTTTATTGAATTAATCACCTTATATTTCTGTCTTAACAGGGAGAAGCAGAATGATTAAAATGAAGTCTAGCCTTTAAATGGGATAATCTGCTCATGTTAGAGCAACATGTGGCAAGGCCTGGCCAGAGAGGGATACGGAACAAAGAGGGAAGGACACAGGAACTCTGATTGAATTCTACTCCTATAGCTAGGCAAGTCATGTGGAAGAAGTTTCTTTATTTCCTGGGAAGCAGCTCTCTGTTTTCAATCCTTTAATTTACTCATGTATTCACAGATTCATTCTATTCATCTGTTATAAAATACTGGTGTGGTGCTTTCTATGGACATTGCCAGTCCCATGACTAAGAATCACATCAAGTGGTGTAGTTGCATGATACCACTAAGAGTGGAGGAAATCAGAAATATGCATATGAAGCACAACATGTTCATTTTCACGTGATGGTATATCATGGTTGACTTTCAATAACAACAGCTGCTGATGAAGATCTACCAACTTCAGGAGAGCTAGGCTCCATGAGGGGACAGAAGAGCCAGAGAACAAGGAGGACTCGTGTCAAATTTGGACACTCTGAGGAAAGGGAGCATTGCAGGTGAGGGAAGCCATGTGAAGGAGTGAGCTGCATATGGCACCCGTGGGAGAGCAGTGGGAAAGCTAAACAGTGTGATTAGAGGATGCATAAGTAAACAACAGTGCCCCAAAAAATAAGAAAAGCACAGTGTGATCGGGCAGAAGGGCCTGATGTGGCAGCTGGTTTCCATCACCAATGAGCATGCTGTTGCCTTCTTACGCAGCCTACACAGCCTCTCTCACTTTATGCTATGGCTCCAACTTTAGATACTGGAGAAAAGACCTTCGTAATTATTTATTCTGAGCATCTCCTTAACGAAAGCCAGATATTTTGACCCCACAAAATAGCTCTCAATGCATTTCATTCAAAGAGCTTTGAAAAGGCACAAAGTAAATATTTAAGGAAGATTCTGCTTTGTCATGTGTAGGTTGATATAAAATAGAGCCTCAAAATGAAAATCCAAAATTAAAGCTACCTTCCTCCCACACATCCGAATACTGGTCACCACTGCAAGATGGGCTCAAGAGGCTGTTGGCCCAGTTCTACTGTCTTAAACAGAAGCATGCACTAACTCACTTCCCAGAGTCACAAACCCAGTAACTTTGGAAAACAACCGGGAGTTTTTCCTTGTTTTTGGCAATGATTTGATTGTAGGTGCCTGCAGAGAGAGCTTTACAACTAAAACATGCTTGCTATTGCCAAACAGACTTTGGCACACAGTCTAAAGCAATATTTATCATATGCCATTTAAAGTGAACTGAAAAGATAAATGCCGGGTACATTCACAGCGCACACAGCTGATGATCAGTATTAATTTGATTGCCTTTTATGACCATGCAAAATAGTTTTCCACTCAGAAAATGAATATAGTTCTGCCATAAGGCACACACAGACAAAGAGAGAAAATTTGTTTATGAAGTAAATATCTGAGACAGGAGAGGTAATTTAGAAAATTCTTCAAAAACCCAAAAATCCCCTGGCAAACGCAAAGGCCTGAGTTCAATCCCCAGTTCTGGAAAAAAAAAAAAAATCCAAGAATTGATTTCTCAGTTTACATGTTTTCAATCAGACAAAAAGCAGGGGGCAGGGAGATAGCTTGACAGTGTAAGCACCTGCCTGGCAAGTGCAAGGACCCAGATTCGATCCCTGGTACTGCATGCTGTGCCACCCCAAAACTCCCAGGCATGCTGTGCCAGTCCCCCAAGCTGGGTGTGGTGGCACACAAGGCTGAGACAGGAGGATCACTATGAGTCCGAGCTCTAGAGTGAGACCCTGTACCAAAAAAAGATTCTTTAAAAAAATTTTTAAAAAAAAAACCTCCATAGGGGCCAGAGAGATGGCTCAGTAGAATAAGCGCTTGTCCGGCAAGCCCAAGTGTCTGAGTTCAATCCCCAGTTCCACCAAAAAAAAAAAAAAACTCCATAGTCCATGCTGATAATGGCTCTGAAAGCACTTACTAAACTTGGACTATTTTTAACTCAAAATAAAATTTGCCGTATATTATTTGTAAAACAAAGTGGAATTTGTGTGGTCACTTAGGGAAGTTCAAATAACAATAATAAAGCTCCCTGAGTGCTTGCCATTAGCCGCCATCCCTCCGAGAACTTGGGACACGGGCTGCCGTAACGTTTGCTGCTACCACACAGGCAGGCGCTACCATCACACTTCTCTTAGACGTGGCAAAGTGGAGGCACAGAGCCTGGTAACCTGTACAAGGCCACAGAGCCACAAGTACTATAGTAGCAGGCAGACTGTAGAGCCCCCATCATTAGACAACTACTAATTTACTTCTTACAGGAAAAGAGAATATAAAAGCTTTGAATTAATTTCCCTCTAAAATCCCAGCTTACCCCATGCCACCTACTAGCCTGCTTCTAGGGTGATGGAAGCATCCAAAGCCTAGATCTGGGAACTAACCAGATTAGAACTCAACTTGTAATAATACTGCCATCACTATGACCTTGAACAAATGATAAACAATAGAAACCTTTGTTTTATTCTCTGCAAAATGTGAATAACTATCTAGGGATAATGAATACAGAGCAAAATACCAGATCCATTGTAGATATTTAGTAAGCATCATAATGACAATAATGGTCAGTCATCACTCTATCCTGAATATTTGTTATAATTTTTTTTGGATCCTCCTCACCTAGCCCAAGGTGCTAAGTAGCAGGGCTAAGGTAGCACCTGACACATCAAGATGCCTCAGACCCAGAGCTTTGTGTTCCTTATTCTCAAAAGGTAACCAGGTCTCTGGTTTCCTGAACTAACCCTTTTCCCACAGGAAATGATAAACTGCTGGAGATCAGAGAGGGTGTCTCATTTTCCAGAGGACTACTGTCTTTTGAAGATCATTCTGCTGAGCCCCTACCTGGAATTTAGCAGGAGAGGGCTTAGTATCTGACTATCTAGATCAACTCTTCCGCCTTAGAGATCAGCAATGTGGAAGTGTCCATGTTAGTGTGGGTAAAAATACATGAGTTTAACAAAGGGATTGTCCTTCCCAGTTGTGTTTCCCTGGCAGTCACTTAAAACAAGTTCTCACTGTGTTGATCTGAAAATGAATCTATGGTTTCAAGATTAAGAATCACTGTTTCTAGATGTTTCAGTGGAAGATTGATGACCTTTCTCCTTCTGGTTTAGATGTAAGAGCTCTCAGAAATTTCAGTAACAGCATGATAACAGATGTGGATATTTAAATGAACTATTAAGAGACTTGAAATATTTTCGAGGCTAAATATACAACTCACCTGATGGGATGTTGGTGGCATTAATAGTGAGATGAGCAAAAGGTTGCATTTCCAGCTTGCCTCTCTTGGCCAGATCAAACCATGAACCTTCCACGGTGGCTAGAAACAAGAGAAACCACATTAGCCCAAAGACTAGTGACCCACAGGATTTCAAAATATTCATAGAGATTCATGATTACCTTTTTCTGCTCTGATGTGTTGTGACCCAACAATGTATTGTAATTCCTGAAATAAAAAGGAGAAATAATTTCATTTATAAAGTCATTCCTTCCACAACCATTTAAGAACTTAGGAGGGCTCTGGGCAGCCTGTGGGACTCTGGTGAGCTGGGATCAGAGGGCCCAGTGCATGCAGGCATGGAGCTTTCCTGGCACCGGGTCCAACCATTTAAGAATTCTGGAGGACTCTGGGCAGCCCACAGGACTATGGTAAGATCTGACCCTTGCTCCCCAGTGCACAGGCATAGAGCCTGAAAAGCAGTAAGAATACTTGTGACTCTTACATAGGTAGCAGATTAGCCTTTTCCCTTTAAATGATGCCAGAAGTGAAGAGGCAGTGAAATTCCTAGATGTTCTAGTCAGCTATAAAAGGAAGTTCACCCCAAAGAACTGGATGCTGATATGCTTAAAAAGTCAACTATATACACACCACCGCACAAACGCTTTGGACAATCAGAAGTAATAAAATACAAGGTAAATTATAAAACATGAAATAATTGAATATAATTAAAAATTTGTAACAGGTACACAAATGGAGATGAAGTTAACTAGGAAAGTAACAACTAGGTAGAATATATGACTGTCCTAAATCTTCCAGGAGGTGGTTTTTATGTCTCTTTTCATTAGTGAATTCTGTTATAACCCTGAAGCACGGCCCACAGAAAGGAGAATGATGCCTGGCTCCCAGCGATTAATTTTTTACTTTAAAGTCACAGTGTATTTAAAGTACTACATGGGAGTCTGAGAGCTTTTAGAGTACCAACAATTAACTTAAAATATTGCTGCAAATAAAGGTCTAGAAGCACAAGCCAGAAAAAGAATGAACATGAGCACGTAGAGTGTAGGTAATTGCATATCTCAATCTGAGTCTGAGGACAAAGGCCCCAAAAGTAAGTCACATTCCACCTGCATCCAAACATGAGCTAACGTTAACATGAACCTTCAGGAGACATAATAAAGTGGAATGGCCAAACGTTCAGGGCTTCCCAGCAGTTCAAATCGCTGCCTAAACCCAGAATATTAACAGTACTTCTATGAGATGGTGGTTAAGAAGATTAAATAAGATAATGCAGGTAGGCACTTAGCTGACTTCCCAGTAAATTCAAATATCTAGATACTAAAGATACTGGAAAGATTCCTAATTACTCTGTTACTAGGACAACCATTCATGTTAACCATCTGTGTTGTTTAAAAGGTAGAGTATGTTGTTAAATTCACTGCATATCTGGAGAGAAGAGCTATGAAATCAATTAGACAGATGATAGACCATAGATAGATAATGGGTAGTTTAGATAGATAGATAGATAGATAGATAGATAGATGTAGATAGATGCAATAACATAATTTCAACAATTAAGGGCTGGAGATAACATTCGTTCTTTTTCTGCCTCCAAGACTCCCAAGAGAGATGACATTCTATTCTATTTTTAATGACCCTTGGAGGACAGAGTATAGCTGTCTTCAGTAAAGTATTCCAAAGTCCTAAAGTCACAATGTGGCTGACTTCTTCAGAAACCTTAGGGACTCATCAGAAGTCGCCTTCTGCCCTGTCTAGACCCAGGGCACTAAACAGTCCTGGGAGAACCATTTGCAGGGTATTCTAGGCAAATCATGGTCCCTTTCTCATGGACCAATCCCGTGATCCTGCTAGGCTTCATTCTCTTCCCCTCACCTGCTCACCTTGTCTCCCAAGTGTTTTCTCAAGACCTTTGGCTTCTCAACAGTGCCCATATCCTAGAACTTCCTGACTTGGGTATGTAACTTTATACATAGACCATTTATCTAAATCAGTTGTGTATATATCATGACACATTATATGTACACAAAATACTTTTACCCGATTACGAGCTCCCAACGACTGGAATAGGAACCTCTGAAACAATAATTCAATGGTTTAAAGCTCCTCCCTCATTTTCTCTGCAGCTCTTATCTGCCTGGAGTCAAGAGGGAAGCACAGCTAAGTGTGGCATCTGCTTACAAATGCCCATTTCAAGATTTTCTATACAAACACCCCTATCTAGAAAAGCAAGGAATGTGCTTTTTGTCTCCATTTACTGATTCTCAAACCAAATGTGTATGATAACCTTCAGGAAGGCCAGGCCAGGGTGTCTGATCCAAGAGATCTGAGGTGGGGCCCAAGAACTGCATTCCTAACAGGTAAGCTGGTGCTGGCCTGTGACCTCATTCAAGGAAGACAGTTCCCCTGGCATCCTCACAGATTCACAGATCGGGAAAGGAAGGTGTTATCTTGAAGCCTGAGATGCAGGCCAAAGCAGCAGCAGGTTGCAGCCACTCCTAAGTGGGCAGAGGAAATCCACTCACTCTCCCCTGGGAATGAACCTTGCTTCCTCATCTAATCAGTAGATTTGAGCTCAGAGCTGCCTCAGACCTACTTAGTTACAATAAAATTCAATAAATAGTGCCTCTCAGAAGCACTTTCAATGCCTTCTCTAAGGAAGGAGAAAAAAGAGCATCACGTTATGAATTTAACCTCTCGTATTGGACAATGAGGTAACACTCAGGTTCTAGCTCTCAGGTATCCAAGAGCTGCAATTCTCCCCAGAAACTCTACAGGAAAGTCTCGGTGTAAAAGAAGGAGCTGACATTTTGTCTACAACCTCAGGTTACCAAAAAAACAATGCATTTAATCTTCTCCACAACTTTTTTAACTCTAAAATCAGTTACATATATAAAATCATAAATATAACATTCTTCTGCCACTATATTTTAGGGTGTCCCTGGACTTGGGGACTATCAACAAATCTTTTGTGGCCAGAACTTGTTGCACCCCAGTAAGGAACCTGACTGCACTTATGGCAAAGCTTTGGAGCTGTCTTGGCCCAACCTGCCCACAGCAAGCCTAAATGGAGCTGCCTTGGCCCTACCTACCCATAGCAAGCCTAAATCAATCAGTTCGTTACTGACTTAACATTTTTTACAACTTGCTCCTAGCCAGGCACGGTGGCACAAGCCTGCAATGCCGGCACTCAAGAGCTAGCTAAGGCAGAAGGATTTTGCTCTGAGTTTGAAGCCAGGCTGGGCTACTTAGTGATTTTACAGCCTAAGTGAACTACATAGCAAGACCCTGCCTTAGAAAAAGATGCTCCCAGGTGATATGTAGCAGGTGCTGAGAAACATCAGTGTTGGTGACACTTCCATTTAATCAAAGGTCTATTATAGTCTCACAAGTTATATTTCTATTCCATCTCCTGAAAAGTAAACACCTTTTTACGTGTGTGCTTTCTGGGTATACAGTGCTTTCCTTGTATCTTCTTACTTGACTCTTACAGCCTGGGCAACTGATTTTTCAGGCTGAGAAATGCAGGCAGAAAGAGAACACAGACTCACACAACAAAGCTGAACCTCTATTATTAGATGTTCTGTCTAATAATTGTTAGAGTTGGTTCCTTCCCTGAAGAAGTAACTTTTTTAAATTATTTATTTTTTTCCCATAATTTTATTGGGAAACAAATAGCAATGAGACAGTTTCAAATCAAATCGGTAGGACAGTTTCAATAATTAACACATTGCATACATTCTTCCTAGTGATTAACTGCTGTACATGATGCAGACATGATATCCTATTTACAAACACTATTACAACAAATCCCTCTATTCATTAAGAGAATGTAACTATATATCTATCCTAACCATTTTGAATACACAGATACCAAATGGACATTCATCTGTATCCCCTTTTTTGTTTAGTTCTGTTATTTGAATATTATAGGTGTGTAAACTCAGCAAAATATTCTAAAAGAGTCCAGTAGCCCATAATAGTATTGGGTCTTCCACTTCACTGGCAGTGTCAGAAATTGTTGACCTGAGTCCCCTACAGCTCAACATAACAGCATGGCTTTACTTCTTCAACTTTGTTTTTATACTTTTCTGGCAGATAGTTAAGACCAAGGTAAAGCAGGACCTGTGCCACAAGAGTTGTAGCTTTTGGGTCTGATAAGGTCAGTGAGATCCCCTCAGGATTTATCCTGAGATCCTGTACCTCAGATTGTAGATCCTTTGTCAGTGTCAGCCATGTGGATTAGTCACAGCCTTTGCTTGGCCAATGTGCTCTCTGTGAAAGCCTGAGAGAATGTGAAGAAGTAACTTTGAAAAAGAGGCATGCATGCCTTGACAGGCATCCAGCTTCCAAGTAACCAGGGATCTGAGAAAAAGAACTTAAAACAACCAGGAAGGCGTCGTCCGACGTGGAGCAGCGCGGAAGTGGGTGGCCGAGCGGGTGCGAAGACCCAAAAATGACAATCCAGTGGGTGGCAGCTGCAACCTTTCTGTATGCCAAAATAGGACTCATTTTACTCTTCTGTATACCTTTCATTCCTCCTCAGAAATGGCAGAGGATTTTATCAATTAAAGTCTGGGGTAAAATTGCAACATTTTGGAACAAGGCTTTCCTAACAATCATAGTCCTACTGATTGTCCTATTTCTAGATGCTGTCAGAGAAGTAAGGAAATATTCCATTGCTCATTCCCTTAAGAAGACCTCATCCACCAAAACTAGCGCCTATGAACATACACAGATGAAACTTTTCAGATCTCAGAGAAATCTTTATATTTCGGGATTTTCTTTATTTTTTTTTGGCTGGTGTTGAGACGTCTGGTTACACTTATTACTCAGCTGGCGAAAGAGCTGTCAAACAGAGGAGTACTTAAAACTCAAGCAGAAAATACTAATAAGGCTGCCAAAAAATTCATGGAAGAGAATGAAAAACTAAAACGGATCTTAAAAACCCCTGGCCCAGAGGAGGAACGTTGTTTTGGAAGCAGAAAATAAAAAATTAGTTGAAGACCAGGAAAAACTGAAAACTGAATTAAAGAAGACTTCAGCTGCCCTTTTTAAGGCACAGGATGATGTGATGACAATGAAGATGCAGTCGGAGAGACTTTCAAAAGAGTATGACCAACTCCTAAAAGAACACTCAGAACTTCAGAATCGTTTTGAAAAAGGCAATAAGAAAGACCTGTGAACCTTAGGAAAGAAGACTGTGATAT